CTTGCCAGGCAGGCACTGTGGGCCTGAGCTAAATCCCCAGCCCCTCATTAGGGATTTGGAGAGGCTACAAACATGGAGAGGCTTGGTCTGTGGTTGGACAAGACTATGAGACAGGTTCCTTCTCATTCCACTGGGCTCTGGGGCCTGGATGTTGGGTGATGCTGGGTGGAGTCAGAACAGGCCCTCTGCTGTCCTAGAGCATCTCCATAGCTCATGTAGAAAGGTTCAGGAGGGGCTGTGGTACAGTGAAGGGTTGGCACTGACAAGATTTGAGGTCAGGCCTTGGTTCTGCCCTGGTGGCTCATTGGAGGTCCTCACCTGGTCATTGGACACAGCACATCTAGTCTGTCCATTGGCAACAGATCACTTCAGTCTCAGAGGAGGACAAGAATGCAGAAGCCTGGGCAAGCTTTGGGTCCTTTTGTGGTCCATCTCTCAAAGACCCTTCATGCTTTACAGAATGATGCTAGAAGAAACCCCAGCCAAGGATCCCGTTGCTGATGACAGGTGACAAGGTGGGTACCAGAGGGAATAGACATGGCTGGGCTGGTTCCCTGGTGTGGGCAGGCCCACCTTTATGCAGAGGGAGGGAGCAGTGTCTGCCAGTCTGCAAGGCTATGTTTGTGTAGAACTCTTCTAATAGATTCTTCTCTCAGAGGAGCTGTGATATAGCACCTGAGAACTCTGGGACTATTTCCATCTGTAATGGTGGATACATTGTGTCAACTTGAGTTTAGAAGTTTAACCCAGCAGTGGGCCAGGTCCTCATTTTGTAAACATGCTCAGCCTGTGCAAGAGGAGGGCATGGAGATGGTGTGAGTGCTACACTCGCCTTGCGGGGCAGGATCGCCTGTTTATAATATAAGGGAAGAAAAGAGGCCTGTTCTCACTCCCCTTTTGCTCTTGTTGCTTTTGCTGTCTTCTGCCACCTTGGACTATTGTGCCTGTGCCATGCCACCCTGCCTTGGAGCCAGCCAAGCATGGACTGAAACCTCTACAAACTGTGAGCTAAATAAACCTTTCCTTCCTTAATTTTGGGGGTCAGGTATTTTATCTCAGCAATGAGAGAAAAGTAACCCAAGACATCATCCTGCCTGTGGAGCTCCTCATTCTGCCCCAATATGTATGGTCCCATAAGGGGGACAGAGCTGTGGTTTAAGCATTGGCCCCTGTGTGGGCCATAACTGGCTTAGATTTCTTTTCTTTTTTAAAAATTTATTTATTTATTATTATTACTGTTTTTGTTTTTGTTTTTTTTTTTTAAATGTATGTAGTGGTGGGGATCAAACCCAGGGCCTTGTGCATGCAAGGCAAGAGCTCTGCCACTGAGCCACATCCCCACTGCCTTAGATTTCTAAGCCATCACTCATAAGTCATGGGATGGTGGACACACTAGCTAGCCTTTATGAACCTCGGTTTCCTCATCTGTGAAATAGGGGTGATGATAGCACCTGCCTAGAAGGAAGGTTATCATGTATACTGTAGGGTGACATTTTTATGTTCCAGTCAAAGTATGCCTGGCCATCTCCTCCCCTGCACTCCACTCTGGGCTTTTCTTGCTCCCCCATGGGACTCTCTGTTCACAATTTGGCTTTTTGATTTTAAAAAACTGAGTCTAGGCATAACACAACAGGATTTGGAAACTGCATTTCTCTAGCTCTGTCGATATCAAGAGGTTGGCCTGGACTGTGAGGGCCAGGTGAGGTCAGCCTAAGAGGGGCCTGGTGCCCATGCATGGCCAACTACACAGGGTGTCCTGGGAAGGGGCAAGCAGAGGAGCCTGCACCTTGCCTCCAGGCAGGAGCTAGAGAAGCAGCAAGACCGGAGGAAGGTGACTCTCTATGTCCACCAGGATGTCTTCCTGCTGGGGAGTCTCCGACAGCTCCTCCCCACCTTCCTCCTGCTCCCTCATCATAGCACAAGACCTGGCAGGGACCGAGCTTCAGATAACCTTGAGGCCACCCAGCCACAGCGGTCTGCAGTGACTGTCCCAGTTGGAGTGATGCGCAATTCAGCAGGTGCCAGAGTAGCTGGGAGACAGCCTAGGGATCCATGGTGTCCCCTGCCTGCCCCACCTTCAGCACCAGTCAGACCCCTGGAACCTTGACCCAACCCCAGGGCACCTGTGTGGTTTAGTTCCAGATGAAATGCCAGAAATGCCATCCAGGCATCCTGAAGCTCACCAACTGAGGTGAATGGTTGGTGAGAACTTTTGCTCACCAACCCTGAGGGGAATGGGCCTTTGAAATGGAAATTATTTTCCTTTTAGAGGCATAAACCAAGAGACATTTCCTGGCCGTGGGCTCTGGGCCCAAGCTCTGACGCAAGTGTGGGCACGTGAGCACCTGGCAGTGCCCTGGGCACCCCAGTGAGCATGGCCCCAGGTGTGCTGTCTGCGGTGCCACCTATCCCAGGAGCAGGGACGGCCTTCCCTGGCCTGGAGGAAGGGAGCTTGCCCTCACGCTTGCAGGTGTGCTGGTTGGTTGCTTAGTGCCTTTCCCTTTGTGCCACCCCAGCCCCACCCCAGCGCATCCAGCACCTGAACACCTGGTGTCCCAAATGTCAGGCTTTGCCACCTGTTGCATGCTCCGTACTGAACTTTGACTTCCCTGAAGACCTTTTACTCAAATCCTTTATCTTTCCTCTCCCTCTTTCGTTCAGGCCATCTTCCTTCCTGCCTTCTCTCCTTTTCTGTCTTTTCCCCTTTCTCCCTCCCTTGTTCTTCACCCTCTTCCCCAAGTCTGTGTCTTTTCCTTCTCCTTCCCTGTTTCTCTGTGTCTCACCCTCTGCATCTCGCTCCTCTCTCGCTCCCTCCTGGGTAGTTCCAGAAACATACCCATATATGGCCTCCATGTCAAGGATCACAAATGATGACATCACGTGAGGGCCCGAGCCCCGAGATGCTCTCCAAAGTGAAAGTGTGCCTCTGATGCACCCAGAGGAGCAAAGGCAGGACCGTGGCTTCCTTCGTGCAATCTTCAAACAGGAAATCTGAGATTCAGAACATCTTATAGCTTGGCTTTTCACCAGTGGTCATGCGGTGGGCCCGAAATAAACTCCCTGCTTCAAAGGACAGCGTTTCAGAACTGCCTGGCACAGTAGCCAGCAGCTCGGGGCCAGGGCAGAAAGAAAACTCAGGCAGCATGTTCTGAATTCAGACACTATCGAGAAGATCCTTTCTATTGCCTCTGAACTGTACTTTTGCTTCTGAGCCTAAACAGGTAATGCATGCTTTCAACTTTCCTATAGGGACCTTGCAAAAGATTGCTGGGCTGGCTGGGACTTGCAACTGCAGGATTCACCAAAAACCCCGTGCAGTCGAACTGCATTTGTGTCTCTGTCTCCTCTTCTCTCAAGTTCAGCAGCACACTGGCAACTTTCACTGGGAGTTGGGAGACAGAGAATCAGGATTTGTATACCCATTCTTCTGGGGGACTCTCACGTAGAATATGACTACTGTGTACTTCTCAAAATAGAAATGCACACAGAGCTGTCAATGATGCTTTTGTTGGGTGCAGGGGTCTTGGACAATGTCTGTGTCAGACAGATTTTCAGGAGAGCTTTTTGGATCATGCAAACAGACAGATAGTGTCATGCACAGGCGCCAACTCTATGCAACCTTTCAGAGGGCTCATGCTTGCATAGTGTTGTGGGGTTGACAGCAGTCAAGGTGCCACAGGCTGTACCTGCAACTCTAGGAGAGGAATAGAATGAGAAATGTTATCTACATGAGATTGGACAGAGCTGAGGAATACAGAGAATGCCATGTGTATGCTTTGTGCGTGCATGGGTGTGTGTGTACGTGTGTGTGTGTGTGTGTGTGTGTGTGTGGTTTCCAGGAGGCAGTGGTCTTATAAAGGACAGGTGGGAGGTCATCAGAGTGGGAGGAGGGACCTCCAGGTCGAGCAGCAGCTGGGGCAAAGGCAAGCACATTGGGTGGCCAGGACGATGGTGGGATGGTGGAGGGGTGAGGTGGGGCACAGCTGGGAGGCGAGCTGGAGGCAGGTGCACTGCAGAGGATGGAGCACATTCAAAGGGTTCTGAGCCGAGCAGGTGCAGGAGGGATTTGACTTCAGGAGGCTCCTTGGGAAGCCAGGGGGTAGACAGCAATGAGGAGGCAGAGAGGCCAGCAAGCGAGAGCAGGTGGGTGACGAAGACCTGCAGCAGGAGCAGGGTCAGCCCCTGCACAGGGCCCAGAACCCTCCACTCCAAGGACAAGCCATTCTCGTGAGGTGGGGCTGTTGAGAGTTCCAAGGGGTTCAGGCAGAACTAGCATGGACCTGTGTCCCAGCCTCAGCCTGACCTCCACCTGCTGAGGCCTCGCTGCAGGAGCAAACAGAGAGGCCAGCGCAGGTACTCCGGTCACTTCCAATACAGCAGGACTGGACCCCAGCACAGGCCAGCCCTGTTTGCCACACAGCCTCCTCTGGTGCCATCCAACTTGCATCATCTTTTCCCATGCCAGCAGGCGGGGTCATAGGTGATTCATATTGGCTGGGGGGATGCTCTTCCATTGGGGGTGGCCTGTAACCCACCTACGATGAAGAATGGAAATTATTAGCAGGGAGTGTTCACTGAGCACTTATTCTGAGCCACTTATTATGAAGCTATTGTGCTTACTGACTCTTCTCAGGGTCACCAAGACTTAGAGGTGATTGATTCTCCCATTTTTCAGATTTGGAAACTGAGGCTGTACACAGTTAGGCTACCCAGCTGTGAGGTGTTGGAGTCAGGAATCAAACCCTGACCTCTGGGCTTCCGGGGCCTCCAGGGGCAATGTGCAGCATCACAGCCTCCTGGGGCCTTGCTGGAGGCCGGACACTGGCAATCAACTACTTGGTGCACCCAGCAGAAATATCCCTGGCACCATCCAGGCATCATAAGATGTCTGAAAATTGTGTGCGGGCTCCATCCAAGACAGCTTTCCTGAGGGAGGCACAGAAATATCTCCGGGCCGCCCGGGGGCCTTCTGGGTTACAAAGGCTCGGTCTGCCTGGAGGAGGTGGCCGTCACTGGAGCAGTTTGTCCTCAGCACCATCTTTGTCATAATCAGTGTGTAGGAACTGAAACAAAACTGTGCAAAGTTCTGGGGTTGAGATGGGTATTTTGGGAGGGCGATGATGAAATAAGTCAGTAGATTACTAACTTGGCTGTTTTGTCTTCTTTAAAGAAATAAACTTAGAAGAGGGATGTGTACCAAGAGTCAGGGAAAGCAGAGGGGAAAAGAAAAGATTGAAAGATAAAGGTGAGGACGAGGGTCCAGTTGCTCTGCTCAGGCTTAAGTTTCTGTACCAAACCTGGAAAAGCACCTGCTCCTCAGGCCCCCGTCCGCTGCCTGCAGTCAGAGCTTCCAGACCCAGTCTGTCCTGCCTCCCAGGGACCAAGGTGAGGGTCTGTGGGACAAACGTGGCTGGACAGTGGGGTGGGGCCAGGCAGCAGCTACTGGAGGCTCAGGGCCGGACCAACCCGCCCCACTCACCCATCACCGCCACCCCCAGCCGCTGGCACAGATGGCGGGAGCTGGCATTCTGAGGGCTCCAGCAGAAACTGGGTCAGGGGCCTGGAATCCTGTGTCCTGCACCGTGTGCAGCTGAGGCGGCCGGCGACACTGGAGAGTGGGCAGGGGCCTGGGACAAGGGCCAGTCACTGCCGGGCAGGAGGCAGGGACAAAGGTGACCCATGGGCCTTCAGAGTAGGAGACACAAGAGGGAAACGTGGCATCCGCTGAGCTTTCCTTAGCTGCTGCTCAAGGGCACTCCTCAGATAGTGGCCTTTGGGTCTGAGGGGAACAGAATATTTGTCACAAAAAATAGGAGATTTGTTTTTCCTGTTTTGCTTCCTTCCTTCCCTTCTTTATTGTTGGCTTCTTCAACGTACACCAATAAATAAACTACCACGATGTGTTGTTAGGGTTGCAGACTCACCCAGATTTGAGTCAGCAGGAAGAAGCCAGGGCATTCTCTTCCAGACAGAGCCTCAGTCTCCCCCTCTGTGCAATGGGCATGGTGTCCAGGACATGGTAGAGAGTAGCAGTGCTGCTAGCTTTAGACAGGCTGTGTGACCATGGGCTAGTTGCATCCCCTCTCTGGGTCTTACTTCCCCTTCAAACAAAGGGAGAAGAGCCAGTGTGGTGGGATGGCCTGAGGCCTGCAGCCTGAACAGATCTCCTCGGCCACCCCTGGCAACCTGGGCTGAACCAACCTCAGAAGCCCCAGTGCTTTTTGCCTGAAAGACTGAAACACCTCCCTGGGACTGTGGTTTGCTGGCTGGAGTGTTTTAGAATATTTAGATTCTGGGCAAAGAGATTGAAACCCAGCAGTTCTGAGGCCCTGTCACTCTATCCCCTGCCAAAGGCCCATCCTGGGATTTGACGCGAAGTCCCAGCAAAGTGGCCCGGATTCCACTCCCTCCCCCTGGAAGCTGTTCACTTCTCAGCTGGGATGGAAAACTCCAGAGGGATGAGGTTTAGGGTCACAGAATGACTGAGCCCCCTCACCGCCCTCAACATTCAGGGTCAGAGGGTGTGATGAAAACGGGACAGACAGGCGTGATTTCAGCCCCTCTGCCCGTTGCATTCTGGGCCTCCGTCTCCCATCAGCATGACAGCAAGCTAATACTCCTCCGGGTACTGGAGGTCAAAGGATGCAGCCCATGACGGCGCTGGGATCCACAAGCACCAGCTAAACTGTATTGCTTAGACCTCAAAGTTCAGACCCAGAAATAGTGGATGATATCTTAAGATCGTGGGGCCGCAAGCCTCCAGCTGGAAGCTCTACCTTCCTCAGATTCCTCTGGGTCCTGCGAATGGCGAATCGGAGGATGCATTTTGACAGGGCAAGAGGCACTGCAGGGAATGAGGCTGTATACCATGACCATGGAAGGTCCCCCTTTCTCCCATGTTCTAAGCTAGCTCAGCAGCCTCGGGTTAAGGCTCATGTGGCATTTGGGGAACCCTGCAACTTTTGAAACTGCCTGGTATGTAGGTTGCATGCGTGTATATTATATTATATAATATAGATTGTAGTCCTACAGTATCTGGGGGGGCTCTGGCTCCAGGACCCCTGTGGACACCAATAATTCATGTTCTCCCCACATTCAAGTCCATCATAAAAAACAGCAGAGCACTGGCATATAAACCACACATACCCGCCGGATACTTTAAATCATCTCTCATGACTTATATAATGCCCGACACAATGCACCGCCATAGAAATAGCTGTTGTACTGTATTAATTAGGAATAATGGCAGAAAAAAGTCTGTATATGTTCAGGGTTACTTGAGCAATTTTTTCCTGAATCCCTCTATTCTGTGATTAAATCCATAAATATACAGACCTGACTGTTCATATATATAATATTATATAAGAAATATATTATGTATGAAATTGTATTGTATAGAATGTGGTTCAAAATACAAACCTATGTGAGTGTGTAAGTTAATTATTATAAATGTAATACGCATATATATGCAGTCTTTAAAAGAGTCTATGTAGTCCTCAGCTTGCATATAATCCTCACACATATCTTACAAAACTGTAGGAGGCTGCTGTTCCTCAGGTGAGATGAGGACTTGGTGTGAAGTCAGATATAGCCTCTGGTCTCTCCCTTTTAATTTTCTCCCTAGCTGTGCCTCACTTTCCCCATCTATACAATGGGACAATAACACCTTTATCACAGATTTACCATGTGGTTCAAACTACAAACATTAGCAAACACGTAAACGAACTGCAAAGGAAGCCAGTCTGGGTAGGGTTCTCTTGTGGTGGGTGGCAGTTGTTTGAAGGTGACGGGTGGATGACAGATGGCTGGGATGTACAGGCTCTGCTCGAGAAATCCGGCAGGCACCCTCCGCTCTCACTTGCAATGGACAAGTGCGCCCGATTAAAATGCCCTACAGCATGGATGCTGTGTGTGGGCTCACAAAAAAGGCCTTCCTGTTGTTTGTAGGTGGTCAACTTGCAACGAAAATCCACACCCAGGTCTGAGGAGAATGGCACGGACCAGGCTGCTGGTCCTTGCAGAGTCTGGGCTTGTAGTCCAGTGCATGGGAAGGTGAGGCAGCAGGAGAGCAAGGGAGGGGGACCCAGGCCCTCACACAGCCACTGTGGACTGCAGCCGCTGAGCACAGTCCTGGGGAGCATGGCTGTAGGCGTGGGTGGAGGCGTCCTGTCTCCTGTCCTGGAAGGAGTGGAGACCCCCAGCATCTTAGAGTTGTAGAATCGCATAGCAGAATTTTAGAGGCCACCAGCCACACTCTGGGTGCCGTCTGCACATTTACTCCTGTAACCTCATTTCCTCTGACACTTCTGTGGGCCAGATGTTATTATTAGTATCCATGCCATTTTGCGGATGGGTAAAGTGAGGCTGGGAGGTTGTGAGCATCCTGCATGGTGCCAGACCTTGGGCACTAAGGCCGCTTTCAAAGGCCGATTTCAATCCTCGTGACAGGCCTGCTGGGCTCATGCTTCTTTGTTTCACAGATGTAGAAACTGAGGCCTGACTAGAGGCGGTGACGGGTGGCCAGGCACCACCTTGGGTTCTCTACACATGTCAGCGCAAGCAAGCCTGTGACAGCCACTGTTCCCACTCTACAGATGGCACCTGGGAGAGGTGGGCATCCCCTGGAGTAATGGGGTGCATGGAGAGGGTGAGGGGGAGCTGTAGAGGTCCAGGGAAGCTCTGTCTCCCCGCCTCCTGCTGGCTGTGGACTGATTACCCCAGGACACCTCCTTTGCTGGCCCCTGGCCTGGCTGGGTGAGGCCGCTGGACTCCTGCTTTCCCTGGGAAAGGGCTATTTTTTATCCCAATCAGCCTCCCACTGGTCCCCCGAGGCTGCTGGCCACCCTCCAGGACTCAGGCTGGGAAGGCAGCCCAGTCCCCAGGCAGAGGTCCCAGAAATTGAGTTGGGGAGCATAAAGATGAGGGGAGACTGAGTCCAAAAGAGGGGTGAAGATCACCCCCATCCCCTCCTCCCAAGACATGGGCTCTCATGACATCCACTCTACAAGTGGAGAAACTGGGACTCCAAGAGGCCACAGATAATAACTAGCTAAGCTGGGACTTGAACTCAGCCAGGCTGACTCCCAGGATGCTTCACACCCTCTTCTGTGCCGAGGCTGAGCTACTGTACCTGTCCCCAGGAAGATGCCCTCAGAGCATCACTCGCAGGTGTTATTGGTCCAGGAATGAGGTACTTCCCCTCCTGAAGGAGTCCAGGTGTCACACTTGCCAGTGGCTAGGCCACATCTAAGCCCGGTGCACGGAGCCCTTCTGATGCTACTTTTCACCCCTTGACCACAGTGACCAATGTCTCTCATTTGAACTTGAGGGTGCCGAAGGTGGATGAGAGTCTCAGTGGGAAGGGCAAGGCCTCTTCAGGCACAGAGCAGGGTAGAGAAATTACCCTTGTCCTGTTCAAGGTCCTATCAAGGTCAAGCCTATCTCCCCCTTACCTGGCTGCACCTTCTACTTGGAGGCCAAAACCCCAGTGTGGTGAGCAGGCTGGGGGACTGCAATGGCAGCATGGAATCAGTGACCATGTCCCACTCGGGGAGAGGCTCAGTAAGAGCCTGGAGTCTGGGGTTCGCTGCAGGATTGCTGATTCTGGCCAGACACCTGGACCAAGAGGGGCCCTACTGGGATAAGAGGGACAAAGGACAGGCTCTACCCTGCCCTGCCACTTAACAGATGGGTAACCTCAGGACCCAAAGAAGAAAGAAGACGTGCATGGCATCCAGATGTTGTGTCCAGTCCTTTGTACAACAAACAAAGCTGCTGCTGATGCTGCTGCTGCTCTACGAAAAATAGCACCCAAGCATCAGTGCACCGCAGCTTCTAGGTTACGATGCTCCAGCCCCTCCCCTCCTTCCCATCCCCCTCCACAGAGCAGTCATCTGTCTGATCAGTGGATCTACAGCATCAGCACTGAACCCTGGCCCACCCTCATCCTCAGAGCACCCTCAAACACTGCAGGGCCTGGACCCCAGACCCGGATGTTTGGGCTCACTGTTTTGGGGTGGCCCTAGGGCCTTGGAATAGTCTCAGGACTCTCAGCCAACCCTAAGAACCATCTGTGAGGATGCTTTTGATTGTATATAACAGAAAACTCAACTAACAGTTTAAACCTCAAGGATCTTCAGTCTTTATCTAACAAGAAGGCTAGGGTAGATGGACCCGGCACTGGTGGCTGCTTAATAAGACAGAGGACCCAGAATATCACTCACTGGTTCAAATTCATTGTAGCAGACCATCATTTGTCCTGTCAAACTCATGCTCACAAGATAGTTATCACTGCTATAAGCATTAAGCTCCTCCAAGCACAAAACAGGGGCTGGGGCAAGGAGTACTTTTACTCATTACGTCTCTTTCATTAAGGAAGAAAGTGCTTCCTGGAAGCACTCCAGCAGAAGTCTGTTACATCTCATTGGACAAAACTGGATGCATGTCCACCCTTAGACTAGTCATTGGCCAAGAGGGTGGAACTGGAACAATCATGATCGTGCATGGGACAGAGCACACTGCTTCTTGTACAAAGCTAGGTTCTGCTGCCAGGAAGATTCGGTCAAGGCTGTTGGGTGGGCCATCAGCAGGACCTGCTACGCTGGGTGATGTTTGTCAGCTGTACAGTGCATATGCTCATTTCCATCTGGCTCAGTGTTGTTTGTGAGGCTCATCTGGTTATTGCCAATAGAGGGAGTTGTTTATTTTCAGTGGTGCCTACTGTCCCCTACTGTCCTGAATGAATGCTTCACAGCATATTAACCCATTCAAATGCTGTTGGTCATTCGGTCATTTCCCAATAGTGCTTCTATGAATATTCGTGACCTTACTTTGGGATGACTCTATGTCCGCGACTCTGGAGCACACAGCTAGTGGGGAGTTTTGAGGTCATATGATATACATGTATGTTTAGCTTTACTCACATTCTCCAGAGCAGCTTTGCCATTTTATGCCCCTTCCCGTGCTGGGGAGAACTCTTGTACTCCCCCGTGCTCCCTAACACTTGCGTTTGCTATCTTTATCATTTGAGCAACTCTGCTAGGTGTAGATTGCTCTTACATTGGGGTTTTAATTTTATTTTCCCCAGACACTGATGAAACTCTGCACCTTTGGTTTTGGTTACTGGCCGTTTGGATGTTCTCTCTGTGATGTGCTGACCTAGTCTTTGGAGTATCAGTTATCTAGAGCCCCAGGAGCCTCCAAATAAGACAGCATGCTCTAGACTGCAGGCTCTTATAAACTGGCTGAGCAGGGCGGAATCCCTGGGCAGGTGGGACTCAGGCTGCCCAGGGATTCATTCACTTGTTCATTTCTAGAGGGTTCTCTGGAGCCACACTAAAGGCAACCACTCCACAAGCTGTTCCTTCTCCTGGTGATGGCAAAAGACCAGGAGTGAGCCCTGCCGCACGCGCTCATGTTACACGATGCTTGCGTCACGTCCTCTGGCGTTCACTGGTTGGGGCAAGTCACTTGGACTTGGGCAAGGGAGGACGGGAGCATCCGTCTCGAGGGTAGAGGAGTGCATGTTTGCTAAGCAAACCCACGTGTAGTCCTGGACGTTTGGGTCTTTTTTAAAAGCCCTCATGTGATTCCAGTGTTCAGTCAGGACCGAGAACCATTGACCCCCAGTCACACTGCAGGCCAGCCAGCCAAAAGGGAAACCAGGCTGAGCTGATTTTATTTCATTTTCTGAAAGGAGCTGACTCAACCAGCTCTTCTCTCTTGGAGGCATTTTTTTAGAGACGAGAGTCCCTGTAATTAACATGGAAAATTGTTCTAATGATTGATTTTAACTTGTTTGTAGCCCTGGGCTTGTTCATTTCTAGTGTTCCTGACCCTCCCACAGTGAAGAGCAATAGAGAAATACCAGGGTAGGATGCCCTTGGCAATCGGAAGGGAAGAATGTATGCAAAGATCTAAAGCTGTGGCATCACTGTTGTACCCCCAGGAGAGTGCCTGATACACAGTAGTTGCATAATAAATGATCTTTCAATGTGTATGTGTATAGACAAGCTTTGTGCAGTGGAAATGAACAGTGGATTGGTGGATGTTTGCAAAGATAGAGGTGTAAATGCATGGGTGGGAGAATGAATGGACAAGCATGGGGAGTGAGTGGACAAATAAATAGGAGAATGGATGACAGAGAGATGAGTAGATGGTTGGGTAGATGAATAAACAGATGGATAGACAATTGGAAGCCTGGATAGGTAGGTACATAGTGATTGATGGGAAGTGGAGGGGTGGATGTTTGGGTGGTAGTCCCAAGGGCAGGAGGGTGGACAGGTGCATAGGGAGGTAGGTGGTTACGTGATTGGATAGGTAGGTGAACGGGAGAATGGATAGATATATAACTGGGTGGGTAGGTGGGCATACAGGAGGATGAATAAATGGGTGGGTTGATGAATAGATGAGTGGATAGATGGATGTGGACAGATGGATGTTTGGGCTAATCATAGGATCAAATCAATGAATAAAAAATGAACATGTGATTGTCATAAAAAGCCCAAGCTTCCCTACAGGTGACCATAACCATCTTGTGAAAACATTTAGTGACCAGGATGGTTTTGGTCTCCCCACAGGGTCTTCTGATTTGCTGCTCCCTCCTCCTGCTGAAAGTCTCTTCCGGAGGCCGGGGTGAGGGGTGACAGAGATGGCGATGCAGATCAGTTCTCGCGGCAGACAGCGTGCCATCGGGAATGAAGAATACAGCCTGTACAGCAGCTTGAGTGAGGAGGAGCTGATCCAGATGGCCATTGAGCAGAGCCTGGTGGACAAGACGAGGGGCTCGACTACCACAGGCTCAACCCCTTCTGAGGCCAGTGGGTCAGTGCGGGCCAACCGCCAGCCGGCCCATTTCTACCCCTGGACCAGGTGAGCAAGGCCAGGCTGACCAATGAACAAGGCCACAGGGGTACCCACAAGCTGCTGATCCCAAATGTTGTCCATCCTGACATTATCCTGCTCTCTAGGATCCTTTTAACACTGTAGTGACTTACATTTTATCTAAGGGTATAGGATTGCCAAGGTTGCAGGGAGTGGTATACAGTTGTCCCTGGTGTCCAGCAGGTTGGGTTCCAGGAGTACCCATGGATACCAAAATCCACGCTCACTCCCTTATATGAAATGGTATAATATTTACTTATAACTCATGGGCATCTTCACGTATACTGTAAACCACCTCTAAATTACATATAACATCCAATACAATGTAAATGCTGTGTAAATTGTTGTTACACTGTATTGCTTGAGGAATAACACCAAAGAGGAAGTCTGCACACTTACCGATGCATTTCTTCAAATACTTTTGATCTGAAGTTTGTGAATGCAGAGCGTATGGGTCCTGAGGGCTCACTGCACACTTGGTCTTGTTTGACCTCCTAGGGACACTCTGGCTATCTCTACACTACCCATTTTCCAGTTGAGGGAACCAAAGCTCAGGGCTGAGTGACTGGTCCAAGGTCACAAAGCTAGTCAGTTGCAAACATTGGAACTACCCAGCTCCACAGCCCGGGCCCTGGCCTTGCAGCTCTGACTTCGCAGCTGAACACTGCCGATCTGAGGCGCAGTCTGGTCAGCACCTCCAGCCTGTTTGTGCAGTCTCTGGAGGGCAAAAGACCCTGGTTGCAGCAAAGCTGTCCTGCTTCCTTCTGGCTGCCGTGCCTCAGCATGGCTCACTGCAACCGGACCTTTGAAGAGCAGCAACACTTGGAATGTGGTGACAACCACAACCGCGATGCGCAGGTGTCCTGTCAAAGCTCTTAGACCCCACTAGCAAAGTAAAGAGAAGCAAGT